TGAAAAGGAAAAGAGTATTTCACTTGTAACACTAAAGTACAACAGGTACGTTTGTTTATGAACTGGATGAGGGTGGTGAGGGAAAAGGAGGACTCAAAGATGATTCTTTTGTCTTCTGTAACTGGGTAGATACATGGTGGTGTCACTTACTGAGATGGAGACTAGACAGGAGAGGACTTGGGTTTTAGACAGAAAAAACAAGGTCCCACATTGAATATATTAAGTTAGAGATATCTGTTACATAGCCAAGTAGAGATGTTAAGTGGGTACTTAGATATATGCATCTGGTTGGAACTCAGAGGAGAACTCTGGGGAGGATAAGGAATTTAGGAGTCATTAGTATAAAGACATTTAAATCCATCAGAGTGGATGAGGCCAAGAGGAAGACTGCAGAGGGGAGAAAAAGTGGGCTCAGGACCAAGCTCTGAGGACTCCCATAACTTAAAGCTTAGGTAGAAGAGACAGAAAAGGAGACTAAGATGTGTGGCCAGTGAGGTTAGTAGTAAACAGGGAGAGAATGACCTTTTGCTGACCTAGAAGCAAATGAAGAGTGTTTCAAGGCTGAAACATTTAACTGTGCAGATGAAACATTCAATTGTGTGGAATGCTTCTGCGAGCTAGACTAATACAAGACAGAGAATCCATTGGATTTTGTATTTATCCTCCCCCTGTGCCTGGTATAAGGTTCCCTATACCTGTTATGCTTACTCCTCTTTTTTTCTTTTAAACCTAGTTAATTCCTAATGACCCTTGGAGATTCAGATCAAACATCATTTCCTCAGGTTCCCCTGTGACACAGTCTGACAGCTCTTAAGAACATTCCCTTCTGGGGCCAGCCTGGTGGTGTAGTGGTTGGGTTCCCATGCTCTGCTTTGGCAGCCTGAGGTTTGGAGGTTCGGAACCCTGGGCGCAGTGTGAATTCCGGGTGCGGACCTAGACACCGCTTGTCAAGCCATGCTGTGGCAGCGCCTCACATGCAAAGTAGAGGAAGACTGGCATAGATGTTAGCTCAGGGACCATCTTCCTCACCAAAATAAAAAAAAATGGACATTTCCTTCAAACCACTCAGTATAGTTGTAATTTCTCAATTATTTATATTTTTTAACTTGATTGTCTCTCCCATTAGAATGTAAGCTCCTTGAGGGTTACTGTCTGTTTTGCTCACTCTCCTCCACTGTTTCCCTAACTCCTATCCTAGTGTTTGGCACATAGCAGGTTCGCAATAAATATTTGTCGAACAATAAATAAATGTAGCACCTGGAGGGCTCAAAAGCTAGAATCAGTAACAGCTAGTAAAAGCAATAAAGGCATTATAAAGTATGACAGGAAGCCCGGATTTAGGGGTAGACCTGCCTGAAGGAGCCATGGACACTTTGACATAGAGGCCACTAAAGACTTGAGTTCCAGCCTGGACAGGAAAACCAGTTATTATTTTCTTTTTCCTCCTTTCTTCCCTTTTACATCAACTTTCCTTGTTCATTTTTACTCCCGGCCCTACATTCTCTTCTCTACTCCAAACTGGCTCACCTCACATAAGATTATTTTGTGGGGAAAGAAGGCAAAGTGAATGAGGAGATGGTGCGAAGTTAGTGAGGGATGGGGGAGACTATGGAAGATAGATAGAATGATAAGGAAAGGAAGACAGTAAGCTCATCAAACTAGGTATTCTAAAATGCTACTAATCCAGGAAAATACTGGAAAAGAAGACCACATGTAAGATGGTGGGTCTTGAAATCATTCAGCTGAATTTAAAACCCAAGCTCCACCATTAACAGCTGATGCCTTGGGGTAAATTACTTGCCCATATGAACTCAGTTTCCTTGGCATCTATAAAATGAGGATAATAATAGCATCTACTTCAAACGGTTGTTCTCAGGATCAGTAAGAAAATCCATTTTATGTGCTTAGCACCACGACCGGCACAAGGCAAACGCTCAGTTAACGTTTGCAGTTATTTTTCTTTAAAACGAAGTACAGCCGGGAGAGACGGCCTAATAGTAAATACTTGTTATATGAATGTAATAATATCACACTCAAAACAAGAGGATCAGTTTAAAAGAAGCAGAGAGGTACCGGCACTTAACATTTTGGGCACTGCAAAGACCTTGCCTATGCACGGAAGACAGACTGTCACAGTATAGCGCCTGACAGCGGTAGCTGCTTTATATATTCAGAAAGGCAAAAGACAAAAAAAGAGAAAAGAAGTAAATGCTTACAAAATTCTGTTCCGGGAAAAATTTATTTCGTCCATGAGGGCCGCTGCAGACGACAGATCGGGTCATGCAGCGAGGGAAGTGACGCTGCGGGTGCGGCAGCGCTCGTTGTAAAGGACTGCCAGGTGCGGAGCCTGTTTCGGCCCGCAAGGACAGGACCCGGCGGTGACTAGCCCGCCGTTCCTCGGCCGGTCCCTAGGGGAGTCACGGGGCTAAGTGTGTTGGCACCGGCCTCACTTCGGAGCCTTCGCCACGCCTGTCTGTCTCCAGGATGGAATCAGATCGGCGTCCCAGCCAACATTGATTGGTGCCCATCGCAGCCGCAAGGCAGCGCCCTACCCTAGGCTGCGCGCCCAACCTGGAGGAAAGCTCCGGCCCTCCGCACGCTGGCCGCCCCCCAGCCCGCCTCCCAGCCCGCCTCCGCCTATTGGTTGGCCGGCGTCCCGGGATCCGCCCCCAGGTTTGAAGGCTTCTTCCGGGAGCGGGTGGAAGGCCCACAGCGCGAGCCTGCGGTGCTCCCGGGTGTCTCTCCGGAAGCTCCGCCCACTCCCAGCGTTCAGTGCGGTGCACCGGCCGCCATTGTTTGAATTTGAAAACTAGAACGTCGCGGTGCGCCGGACAGGTGCGGCAGACCAGGAAAAGTTTGCAGGAGAGGCGGTGGCCCAGGTGAGGGTGCGACGAAGGCGGTGGGTGACTGCGCACTTACCAGGCCTGAGGCGGGGAAACGGCTCTGGTAGTGTGAGCCCCTTCTGACGGGGCTCGTGACGCCCCTGAGGTTACTCTCAGGAACTGGGTTGCGGAGCAATGGGGGATCCTGGGGCACGGGGTGCACTTCGCAGAGTTGAGCCCTACTACTTGTGTTAGAGTTTAAATCTCGTCTCCACCGCATATTAGCTGAGGGACGCAAGGCAACGTATTTAATCTCTCTAGAGGAGTTTCCTCATCTGTTAAAGGGTAATAATAATGGTACCTTCCTCTTCGGACCCTTAGGAAGATAAAACGATGATAGGTAAAATTGTTTGAAACAGTGCCAGTATATAGTAGGCACTAAGTGTTTGCAATCATTAATATTTTTGTTGTTGCTGCTAGTAACAATATTGCCATTGCCGAACCTAGTATCCTGAATTCCTAAGGTGAGCGCTTTGCTCGGCAAGAGACATGATCTCTTTTTGGGGGGAGCCCTGCTGTGGCCGTTTGTGCATTTATTTCCAGGCTGCTGCCCGTGCCTGGGGCTTGCCCTTCTTGGGCTTTGCAGTGCCAAGCGGAAGGGGGTGTGTGTGGCCAGTGCAATGAGTGCTGTCATCCCCCGTTTTAGAAGGTTTCCCCTATCTCGTTTTACTTTCTGGTTCAGTGACTCCTGCCCGGCACAGCTCGCTAACATCCTTGCTGAAGGACTAGTGGACACAAGTTCATGCCTTATGGGTTAGCTTCTTTTTAATCCCTGCTTAAGGTGATCAAATTCAGGTTTGTTTTTGTTTTTAAAACAAGGTAGCATGTTTACCCAGAAGCAGCATAGCAGTGTATATGTTTTGTTAGATCTTTAATACCTGAGACTTCAAGTTGAAAAATAATATCAAGAACTCATCAGTTAGTTGAGTAGACTTTTTGGGGGGCTATATTTTGTGGATGACATTCAGAAACCTCATTCAGTAGCAGATTTTGTTATTTTTCACCAGTTTTCAACCATGGAATCTCACTGGAGAGAAGATAAAGATGTAATTTCTCAGTCATGAGAACAGCCTTCTGAAATGAGAAAAGAGGTTTTGAACCCTGCTGTTGCTAAAGATAATATCGTTAAAAGAGTAGGACCAATTTTTTTTTTTTGGTATAAAGAATTTTATTTATTATCATTATTTCAGTCACTAGACAGTCACTACATAAATCTCTGAATTTGTTGTAGGGAATAAGAGTCGTATAAGACAAGTTCCTTGCCCTCAAGAAGTTTATAGCCTACTTAGGGAGGCCACACAGAAGTAGAAGTTAACTAAAAGTACAGGAAGTGACAGTACATCTCAACAATTTTATGAATGTTAAGAAGCAGTTTCTTCTTTGAAAACTGAACATATGAACAAGTATAAACTACTATAAGTTTTCTTAGGAGGTACAAGGTTCTTTTTAAGTAAGTAATTTTATAAAAGATTTATCAACACTTTTTTTGTGTGAGGAAGATTAGCCCTGAGCTAACACCTGTTGCCAATCCTCCTCTTTTTTGCTGAGGAAGGTGGGCCCTGGGCTAACATCGTGCCCATTTTCCTCTACTTTATGTGAGACACCTGCCACAGTGTGGCTTGATGAGGGTGCGTAGGTCTGCGCCTGGGATCCGAACCTGTGAACCTTGGGCTGCCAGAAGTGAAGCACGGGAACTTAACCACTACGCCCCCGAGTTGGCCCTACCACATTTTTTTTAAATAAAAAATTAATTGAAGGCAGAGAATGAAGCTTACCTTCTCGTTTCCTGGACATTTCCATAAAATCTGAGTTACGAAATGTCAAGCCAGTACTTTAATGTTTTTGTGGACTTTTCCCCCATGTTCTAGAGAAGTGGTTATTTGTTACTCTATCAGATACCCATTTTCTTAATTTTCACCCATAAATTTCATGTTTGAAATAGTGTATCAAACCGCATTTAAGTAATTTTCCCATTTTCATGACATCACTGATTATACAATAAAAACAAAAGCAATAAAGATATTAACCTTGTTTAATTGTATGGTTGGTTGATCCTGTAGTTTGCTGGGCCTTGTTGAAGATGTGTAATATCTTTCGTCTTTTTGAGATTTAGGAAAAATAAAAAACGAAAACAGCACTATTGTATTGAGTTGGGGAGTTTCAGGGCTGATCCAGGAAAAAGATAGGACCACAAGGTGGCAGTAGCACATAAGGAACTTGGTTGGGATAGCATTTTGACAAGATTGCATGCGAGGTAAGTCCCCCATAGCATGAGACCTTTACTATTTGATTTCTGAGAGGATTTCAGACAGAGATTGAATTTTTTATACTGTCTTTATGAAATCTCTTTGGATGAATCTACCATAGGTTGGATTATATGAATAGTAGTGGTAGGCTGTGTCCAATATTTGATTCAGAATCTGTAAGTAATTTGATCTTTTGTCTTTTCTATGGATCATCATGTTATAGATGAAGCAGTCTAATGTTGTCTTCTCTGGAAATCTAGTTATATGGAGAGAAGTAGTGGGTTGGACTCATAGACTTTTTTTTAAACTATGGGTGGCTTACATCCTGATTTGTTAAGGTTGTCTAAAGAAGTTACTGTTATTCTTGCAGAATGGAATCTAATTCACATCAAGATGGGGTGCCTAGACCATCTTATGTTTTTAGTGCTGACCCAATTGCAAGGCCTTCGGAAATAAATTTTGATGGCATTAAGCTTGATCTCTCTCGTGAATTTTCCTTAGTTGCTTCAAGCACTGAGGTAAGTACAAAAAAAGTATTATGTTGATTATCATGATTGAGTGGAAATGTGTGAGCACACACACACTTGGGGACAGGGATGGCTAGAGCAGAGCTTTCCAAACATGGGTATAAGGCACCCTTCTATCTCAGTAATTTTTTCTTGGTGTCCTAAATACATGATATTTCCTTTTCAAGTAGTAGGTCCAAACAGTAACTATCTATGCCCTAACCTAGTACCCATTGGAAAAAAACATTAAATAAAAAAAAAACATTTAATTTCATTCTTTAATAACCACAGTTATTTATTAATGGGATTTGTGTGCCTTTGGGGCACTGCACAATTTCTCAAGCTTTAGCATCAGATTAGACATTGCCGCTCTCATTTTCTAGTCCTCATTGTTTTGGGGCAGTACTTACTTATCACAGCAGCCACTGGAAAATCCAGCTTTGCAAAAATATGACATCATCAAAAGAAATAGTGTCATCTAATGTTGAAACTGTGAACTACTCGAGCTAATAGTTCATGGTATTCGGCATGTGTCAAGTACTGCTGTGATTCCCTCAAAAATGTAAAATATTCTACTATGCCCCTTGGAATTGCAAGCTGTAGTTTAAAAAATAATACATATTTTTAAAAATCAAAATAACTCAGTAGTGTTTAAGAAATAAAGGTCTGTCCACCACCCTACCTACTACCACTATAATGTTTGCTGTGTGTCTTTGTAGGCTTTTTCTTATACATTTAGTTTTCAGTCCATTTATATTCTAGTGTTAATCTTGATGCCTTAGAAAGAGGGACTAACCCATTTTATAAAGAATGATGGAAGGGGAAAGTGAGATATAGGGAACATAAATAAAAGAATAATACTTATTTAATATCCGTCATGTGCCAGGCTCTTTTACTTTAGCTAAATTAAAGAAAGAAAGAAAAGAAGGGAGGAAGGGATAAGTACCTCTTGGTATATAAATGGAATCGTACATTATGAAGTCTTTTGTGTCTGCCTTCTTTCACTTAACACAAGGTTTGGTAAACAATGGCCTGTTTTTGTATTGCTTACAAGGTAAGAATGGTTTTTACATTTTTAAATGGTTGAAGAAAAATAATGTTTCATGATGTGAAAATTATATGAAATTCAACCTTTGCTGTCCGTAAATAAAGTTTTGTTACATGACAGCCATGCTTATTGGCTTACTTATTTTCTAGGTCTGCCTTTTCAGTATAATGGCAGAGATGAGTAGTTGTGACAGAGACTGTAGGCCTGTAGAACCTAAAATATTAACTCTCTGGCCCTTTACAGAAAAAATTTGCTGACCCCTGACTTAGCATGATGTTTTTGAGATTCATCATGCATCGTGTATCAATAATTTGTTACTTTTTATTGCTAAGTAGTAGTCTATTCTGCAGATATGCCACCTTTCCATTTACAATTTGATGGACATTTGGATGATTTCCGTTTTTCGGCCATTGCAAGTAATGCTACTTTGAACATTCCTGTGCAAGCCTTTCTGTGAACCTGTATTTTCGTTTCTCTTGAGTAAATACTTAGGAGTAGAAATTGTGAGTCAAATGGCAAGTGCATATTTAACTTCGTAAGAAACTGCTAAACTGTTTTCCAAGGTGGCTGTATCAGCACCAGCAATGTATGCAGATTCCAGTTCTTCTACCTCTTTGCCAGCACTTGGTAATTTTGGGAGTATAGTAGTACCTTATTGTGGTTCTAGTTTGCATTTCCCTAATGAGCACTTTTTCAAATTTGTTGGCCATTCCTATACTTTCTTTTGTAAAATGTCTCTTCAAATCATTTCTCCATTTAAAAAATTAGGTTGTCTTATTATTGATTTGTGAGAGCTCTTTATATTGTGATACATATCCTTTATCAGATTAATGATGTCTTGATTAGCAGAGGTTTTTAATTTTATTTATTTATTTTTTTTGTGAGGAGATCAGCCCTGTGCTAACATCCGCCAATCCTCCTCTTTTTTTTTTTTTTTTT